AAGATCTTTAAAGTACTAAAAGAAACAAGACTTAACTCAGAAACCTATATCTAGAAAAAAATAACTTCCAAAAATGAAGGTAATTCATTGGAGGCTTAGAAAAGAAAAAGAGAAGGCCAGGCACAGTGGCTCATGTCTGTAATCCCAGCACTTTGGGAGGCCAAGGCAGGCGAATCACAAGGTCAGGAGTTCGAGACCAGCCTGGCCAACAGGATGAAACCCTGTCTCTACTAAAAATACAAAAAATTAGCTGGGCATAGTGGTGGGTGCCTGTAATCTCAGCTACTTGGGAGGTTGAGGTAGGAGAATTGCTTGAACTCGGGAGGCGGAGGTTACAGTGAGCCAAGATCGCGCCACTGTACTCCAGCCTGGGAGACAGAGTGAGACTCCGTCTCAAAAAGAAAAAAAAAGAAAGAAAAGTAAAATTTTCTGCTATATCAGTCACTGAGGAGCAGCAGCCATAGTTCTGCATTATCCCATAGCATGGGCCTCAACCAGGGCCCAGAGTGAACAAGAATGTGAGCAAGCTGAGGCAGGGCTGCCACCCTGGATACCTCATAAAAGTACACACAGTGTGTGTAAGACATCATCTGGGAGGTGTGTGGCTTCCCCCAGAGAAGTGGCATACTATGAAGCCGCTCAAAGTCTCCAAGGACAAGCGGGCCCTCAAGTTCTTTTAGAAAAGGATGAAAACACACATCTGCACCAAGAGGAAGAAAGTAGAGCTGAAGCGGTATCTTGACTGCCGTGAGGAAAGCAGCTGCCAAGAAGGTCTGAACCCCGACCCCACTTTGGGCATAATAAAACCTATAAAGAAAAAAAAAATGAAGGTGAAATAAAAACTCGTTTGGCAAGCAGAAGCTGAGAGAATGCACTGCCTACAAATCTGCTAAAATAAGTAATATTAAAGGAAGACCTTCAAGCAATAGAGGGGTATGATACCAGAAAGAAATTTGAATCTACACAAATAAATGAAGAATATTGAGAATAAAAAAAATGAGAGTAAATATAAAAGATATTTTCCCTGATTTGAATCACTTAAAAAGACAACTGACTATATAAAGCAAAATTAGTAACAACAAATTGTAGGGTTTAAAAAATATAGAAAAGTAAAATGTATAGCCACAACAGGAGGTCAGAGAAACTTAGAGAAATAACATATGTGACCACAGTAGACGTCAGAGGAAAAAAAGTAAACAGAGTAAGTGGGGAAAAAGAAAAAGGAAAAAAAAAAGGCAACTAACACAACGATGAGCCTCAATAATTTCAGTAAGTGCAAATGGTCTAATCACCCTAACTAAACGGCAAAGTTTGTCAAATTAAATTTTAAAAAGGAAGACCCAATTATATGCTTTCTAAAAGAAATCAATTTAAAGATAGGCTAAAAGTAAAACACAGGAAAAAAAAAAAAAAAAACATTCCATGCAAACACCAGTCAAAATGAAACCGGAGTAGCTGCATTAATATCAAACAAAGCAGATTTCAGAACAAGGAATAAAGAGAAATATGCAATAATAAGGTGGTCAAGTCGTCAAAAAGACACATCACCACTAACTGCATATGTATATAACAACAAAGCTTCAAAACGCATTAAAACAAAAAGTAATAAAACTGAAAGAGGTAGACAAATCCAAATTTATAGTTGGAGACTTTAACACTTGACTTTAACACTTGGGCTATGCCCAAGTAGACAGAAAATCGTAACAGATATAGAGCCTGAAAGAAGAAATCAAGAGGGAAATTAGAACATATTTTAAATCGAATGAAAGTAAAAATCCATATAGTGTGTATCCCAGATGTAAAAAAAAAAAAAGAGAAGAAAAACTCAACTTGTCAAAAATTCACAGCATTAAATGCTTATATTAGAAAAAAGAAAGCTCTCAGATGTATAGCCTAAGCTTCAAAATTACAAAAGAACAAAATTTAAAAACAAAAACAAGTGAAAGATAAAATGGATAAAAGAGCAGAAATCAAAAAAACTGAAAATAGAGAAGAATCAACACAATTAAAACCTAATTGTTTGAAAGGACTTAAAATTCTATAAAACCCCTAGCCAAATTGAACAGAAGAAAGAGAAAAGAAATAGATGATCAATATCAGAAATGAAAGTGAGTATCATTACAGATTCTGCCACTATTAGAAGAGTAAGGGAATGTTATCTACAGATTCATCCACTATTAAAAGAAAAAAGGAATGTTAGAAACAATTTTATACTAGTAAATTCTGCAACTTAGATAAAATCAATTCTTTTAAAGACTCAAACTACCAAAGTTCATTCAAACAGAAGCAGGTAACCTAAGTAATCCTATTTATTTTTAGAGTCTAAGTTTGTAGTTAAAAAACTCTTTCCAAAGAGAAAATTCTGTTAACTTCTACCAAATAATTAAGAAATATTGACCAGGTATGGTAGCTCACGCCTGTAATCCCAGCACCTTGGGAGACCAAGGTGGGCAGATCATTTGAGGTCAGGAGAGCAAGACCAGCCTGGCTAATACGGTGAAACTCTTATCTTTACTAAAAATACAAAAAACCAGCCAGGCATGGTGGTACACACCTGTAATCCCAGCTACTCGGGAGGCTGAGGTGGAAGAATCGCTTGAACCCAGGAGGTGGAGGTTGCAATGAGCCGAGATCACGCCACTGCACTCCAGCCTGGGTGACAGAGATAGACTCTTTCTCAAAAGAAAACAAACAAAAAAATTCTGTTTTGCTGGTTTTAAAAACTGCTTTTGTCACACTCATCAAAAGTTGTCTTATTGATAAATCAATATATTCAGTCCTTCTCTTATTTGATCTCTCTGCAGCATCTGACTACCTCCTAGTACTTAGTCATTCTCCATTCCTTTTTTGCAGGTAGTCTTTCCTCCTCTTTTTTCCTATACCTTTCATGCATCTTATCTGCTACTCAAATCTTACCTATTACATTTCTAAAATATGTCCGGAGTCTTTCCCTTCCTCCTCTCTACCTTCACTGCCACAGTTCAGACCCTCAATATCTCTTACCTCGACAACTCTGCTTGCCTCCCGACTGGCCTTCCTGCCTTTGGTTTTGCTGTGCTCAAATCCATGTTCCACAGTACTTAACAGAATTATCTTTTGAAGAATGCAAACCAGATCAATTTACATTCATGCTCAAATCTTAAATGATTGTTTCTTCAAACTTTCCACTTTGCATAGTAACCGTGACCTCAGCTTTTCTTGACTTTCCAGGTCCATCCTCAAGCTCTCTAGGTTCTGGGATACTATAGTTTTGTTACATGGTTAAAATTCCACACTCCTTCCTGCACTTAAAGATCAGCTCCTTGAGTGCAGAGACCAAGTTTCAGTTATCTTATTATCTTCAGTCATTTTAAGTGTATGGCATTTAGTGAGCGTGATGATTAATTTCATATGTCAACTTGTCTGGGTCACAGTGCCCAGATATTTGGTCAAACATTATTCTGGGAGTTTCTGCAAGAGTGTTTTGGGGTGAGATTTACATTTAAAGTGGTGAACTCTGAGTAAAGCAGATTACCCTCCACAAGGTGGGTAGTCCTCATCTAATGAGCTGAAAGGCCTGAACAGAACAAGATGCTGACCTCCCTGAGCAAGTGGGAATTCTCCAGTAGACTGTTTTTTGGAATTAAACACCCAACTTTTTCCTGAGTCTCTATCCTGTCGGCTTCCCTCATCAGATTTTACACTAGCCAAACCACCAGAATCGCATGGGCCAATTCCTTAATTATATTCACAGACACACAGATACACATACACACGCAAACAGACACATGTTGATGGTTGTTTTGGAGAACCCCCACTGGGTATGCAAAAAATGTTTTTCAAATTAATGAAATTAACTAATGCTGCTTTTTTGTTCTGTTTGCTTTCACTTAATTTACAAATAAAAATGTCTGTGAGATTTATTTTGACATGTTTTTATAGATCACTCGCCAGTTTTAAGTCAATATAAATGTGTTTAGTTAAAACAACATATATACAATATAAAGACTACAGAAACTGGAACACATGTTAGGTTTCATGTTACAAATACTTTTAAAAGAAAAAGTGTTGACTAGCCAGGTTACAAAAACAGAACCACACAGACAAAGGTATATTAAAATCATTCAAAAGAATCGCCTAGAAAACAAAAAAGTACATCTAAGTGTTTTTACATAGATAATTTTGTTTCTAACTCTAAACTTCTAAAATGTATTCTGGTACAAACTAAAAATATCTCTGAAACAGAATTCTTACATGAGAAAATGGCCTGGTCTAAAGCATACTACTTTTGATAAAAGTAATTAGTAAGCCTGTTTTGTGAATGTTCACATAAATAAAGTGTTTGATAGAAATAATGTTTACACATCCACAAATAACAAAATGATACTTGATATAAAATGAAAATAAGCCAGTTTCTACCAAGTTATCTGCCAAGTTCTGAATTCAGGGTTCTCTGCTTCCCTTGTAACAGATGTAGGTGTTAATGATGTCATTAACTGCCGCAGAAAAAACAGGGGACCACGAACACAGGTCTTGGCAAAAAATAAACACCCCATGAGTCCACCTTTAAATTTAAAGTAAATAGAAAAATTAGTTTATAGAGTGTCTGTCCAATATACTTCCTGCCCTGAAGGGATGTCAAAATTTTTATTTCCAGTGTTTTCAGCTGTATTCCTAAAAAAAAGGCTAACAACCTGTGTTCTTAAAAGGCACAAATTAAGACTATGTCTATATGGCAAAAACAATAAGTCAACAAGTTAAAAATGTTAAACTGGTATTATATAAAATATGTACAGTCATAAAACAAACTTTCTGTATTTTCTAATCATAAGATTATAAATACTCATTAACATCTCATCTTACTCTGTAAATAGATGTTATTTTGTGCTTGGATCATCTACCTTTTATTGCCTTAGAAAAGTTAACACTGGTATCTACTTTAATACCAATTAAGATCAAAATTTATTAATCACTTTGATATTATGACAGATAAAATACACACATGTAAACTTAACTCTTACCTTGTCAAGTTGATCCTGAAGATTAGTGGATGCTTTATAACCAAGTTGTAACAGCATTGCTTCTGCAGCATTTTTTTTGGCTATCTTTTTATTAGGTCCTGTTCCTGTAGCAACTTCATTGCCTACCTTCACCTGACAAGATTGAAGAAATAAATTAATGGTAACTGTTTTGGTAAACAGGAACTTCTTACATCATAAAGCAATTCTACTCTCCAGCATTTGAAAATATAAAGCTCAGTCTAAAAAATGACAACTAAGATAACATTTATATAATGTTATATATGTACATAGAGAAAAATATGAAAAAATTGTCCTTAAAATATCAATGGAGGATTTATCTCAGGATGGTAGAATTTTATAGAATTTTAATTTCCATTTACATTTATGTTATTTGATTTTTTAAACACTGAATTTATATTCATATAAGGAGAAAAATAAAATTTACATTTTAACAGAGTTCATGTTGATTATGACTCCATTTTAGCATTCTTACATTTCAATTAATAAACTGAAAGGCTGAAATTCATATTGGTGCTATTTAAAATACTGTTCACATGGCAACATTATGTAAACATTCACGTTTACAAAGATTTATATTAAATAGTTCCTGAAGAGAATCAATAGACAAGTGTTGTTTTAACAACAAAAAGAAAAAGATTTGTGACAAAGTTGGGTTTACTGCAGGAATGAAAGTTTGGCTTAATATTTGAAATTCATAATGAAAACTATTTGCAAATTAGGAAAAGAAGAAAACTTTCTTAATATGATAAAGGGCATTTTACGAAAAATCTACAGCAAACCTCAGGAAACATTATACTTAATGTTGAAAGAAACTGAAATTAGAAACAAGACAAGGATGTTCCCTATTATTACTACGGTTTAACAGTTTACAAAAATCCTAGACAGAGAAATAAGGCAAGAAAAAGTTAAAAAAGAATCAGAAGGGAAAAACTCATTATTTATTGATATGATTTCATACATAAGGAATCTAAGGAACTCCACAGATGAATTGTAAGGATTAGACTGTAACAAGCTCTCTTAGTGTGAAAAAGAGAACTGCATTTCTACATTCTATCAACATTCAAGTAGAAAACGAAAACTATTAAAGGATACCATATACCTTAAATGAAAATCAAATACCTAGGATGTGCAAATCTTCTACATAGGAAACAAAGCCTGGTTGAGCAACTTTAAGAAAAACCTAATAAATTGAGCAGTATGCCATGTTCACGGATTGAAGACAATACTAATGTAATGATATCAGTTTTCTTCAAATTGACCTAAACTCAATTAATTAAACTCAATGAAAACTCAATCAAAATTCTATACATCTTTTTACAAGACTTGAACAAGATGATTCCAAAATTTACATTGAAACGTGAAGTGCTAAGACTAGCCAAGATCCTTTTGAGGAAGAACAAGGTGGGGGGCACTTATTTGTCTGGTATCTATACTTATTATAAAGTTAATATAAAGAAAAGTTTAAATTTGACTGCATTAAAAATTACTTTTGTTCTTCTAAAAGTACCATTTAAAAAGGAAAGTCACAATACAAGGGAAGGTATTTAAAATTCCGTAACACAGCAAAGGACTTGCATCCAGAATATATTTGAGGTTCCCATATATTAGCTTTTTAAAAAGCAACCAAAAAAATGAGCAATAAAAGTGAATGGGCAATCCATTATCTGAAAAGTTGAATTGTTTTACCAGATGTCATTTTGTTTAAAAAAAATTAGAAAGTTTCAATAATAGCTTCATGCCACTTTACCAAACTTCACAATGACAACAAAATTCAGATTTCAGCTATATAGAGTGATACACTTAGCCATACTTTTCTGTCTCTTGTGTAAAATCCTAACATTCGCTGTTTCATCTGTCCCAGAACACACAGATTCTCATTTGGTATCCACACTTGGGTACTGTTTATCATTTAATCTTACATCCTTAGAGTTTTGTTTGTGTTATTATTTCCATTACTACTTTTAAGCTTATATACAACAAAATGGTAACAAAACACACACTTAAACTATGTGCAAATGATATGAAAAAGGAACTGCACTCTCTTTTAACAGTTTCAGTAAAGACAAACTAAATGACAGTTCACATAGCACATGAAACACTGAAAATTTAGTCATTACAGAATTTCCGTTACAGCTATCACAAGTTGTTCATACCTGTGAAATATTTTTGAAATATTTAATTGCCTTTTCTTCTAAAACTGGAAATTACCACATTGTGACAAATCAGAATTAGTCTTTGAACCTCACTTTGAGAAGGACAAATCTAGTACAGTCAGGCAAGGTCCTTAGAGGTAGGTGAATACACACCTATCAGTGTCTGCCTCAACATGGAAGGCCCTATGGATAATCTACTCAAATCTCTGACTACAGCTACCTCTGCTACCTGTTATTTTTTCCAATGCTTGGTTCATTTCCTCAGCTTCATCAGTCTCTATGTTGTTGCTGGAATCCTTGTTAGTGAAAAAATTAGGTCAGTTATGTCTGAAGCTTCCTCTACTGCTCTAAGGGTCAAAAGGCATGCCAAAGTAAATAGAAGCCAAAGATCTCTAAGCAATAAATAACTGTAAAACCGTTTTAAATCTGTTTGTACATGCTTTCATATTTTACTCACTCTCTATTTTTCTGCTACTTCATCCCTAAATCTTAACTTATCTAGCAAGGCCTGATGCCCTCCGGCTCCAGACTCCTGCTCTTGGACTTATCAGCTGTAATGCTGTTCCCATCCCTGTAATCACCTTGTCTCTGTCTGCTAGATTTCCATCTGGCTTATTCTGATACCTTCAAGACTTACTTTTTCTAAAACAAGTGCTTTCCAGATTAATGCTCCTATTTACCCAGCCCTTGCCTCATGCGAATTTTAATAATCGCATGGTTCAGTAGTTTGTAAGCAGTTATCCCAGAGTAATTTGTTAATATAAATAGACCACATTGCCAAAGGACTTTCATTCCCTGCTAATAAACACAATGGTCACTCAAAACGTCACTTTATTATAAAAGTTAAGTATATAAATTTCACAAGTCTTCTTCCTTGAAAGGTCACAAATTTTGTAACTATGTTAAATAAGGTCTCTACATTTAAATGTTAATTTCTATCTATAAAGAAGCTGAATTATTTTACTATGTGGTAAATTTAAGACTGCCAAATGTTTATCTTTAAATAGCTCATTTACATGAATCAAATCCTCAAAAACCTAAGACATGAAAAAGTTCTGAAATAGGATTTACCAAAAATTTAATTTTTTTTTATATCTTAACAACCTGGAGATCTTAATCACAGGCTGAAAAGTATCATATAACACAGTGTGTTGATACGCAATTTGGTTTAGTTATCATTATTTTCTGCTTGAAAGATTACAAATACTCCTCACCAAAAAAATAAAAATCTTTAAGGAATCTGCTTTGGAATAAAATAATCAAATAACGTCATGAGAGATTTTCTTTTGTTTATCTAGCAATCAACACAAGTAACTGCATCCATTTTATAATATACAGACTTTTTCTTTCGTAACAGATAAAAATGAACATCTCATCTCTAGATATTTTGCTTCCACATTCAATTATAGCAAATGATAACATTGCCTAAGTAGTTTATACAAAAGCCTTTACTTTGATAAAATTGCTGCAATACTGTAATGAACCCACTGGGGCTTCCAGAAGGAGAAAAAACAATATGAATTCAGAGCAAAAACATTTAAAAGCACAGCCAAATGTCCCCATTTGACTAGAATGTTTATGCATACCCATAAAATGGAAGCTGGCCTAAGATATGCTAAATTCCTCTTTCAAAAGGGGTACTCAATATACTCTGTAGAAAAGGATTTGTTTAATAAAGCCGAAGCTAGTTTATATTCCCAATATATGTCTAAAATTTAGGTGATTTTTTTCCTTCAAACTTTGGCATTCAAAGTATATGTTCCAGAATTCTTCAAAGCTAAGAATGTTAAGGAGAAAAATAGTGAACTTATTTTACCAGCAAAAATAACAAAACAATCACGTGCTGGATCCTAATAACATCTTGACAATAATGTGTTTACTAACCAGAGAATTCCCCTCATTTTGGGTATCTGGGTTCCCAGGAGTAGCTTATCTATGACTACATTATAAGTTTACATCTTCAAAAAAGCCATACAGACAGGAAGGCAGGCAGAAAACATCTATCAAATGTTTATTAAGATCCTACTATTTACAAACTACTGTATTAAGTACCGTAAGATAAAGAAACACTGAAATTATAAATTGGGAGAGAAGGCATAACTTTGCTATACATTGAAAGTTAATCAACATGGGATACTATATTTGAGTGCCAAAATGTCTACCACACGATCAGCACTTAATATCTGTTGATTTTATCTAAATTACACAAAATGTAAGATCCTTGGATTTGACTAACAAGTTTCTTTGACTAACCAATTATTTAAAAAACAGTTTGAGACTATCATGGTGGCTCACACCTGTAATCCTAACACTTTGAGAGGATGAAGCAGGAGCATCACTTGAAGCCAGGAGTTCAAGACTAGCCTGGGTTACATAGTAAGACCCTGTCTCTATAAACAGCAACAATAAAACAAAATTTAATTAGCTGGTCATGCTGGTATATGCCTTGTAGTCCTAAGCTATTCAGGAGGCTAAAAAGGGAGGATTTCTTGAGCCCAGGAAATCAAGGTTGCAGTGAGCCATGATCATGCCACTATACTCCAGCCTGGCTGAAAAGACCCTGTTGCCCCACCAAAAAATAAAATAAAACAAAAAATTAAAAAACAGTTTGGGGAAAATAATAATTTAATTATAGACTGGGTATTAGATGATTCTAATAAATCAAGTCTAATTTAAAAAAAGCTTTTATATATCTTAGAAATATACACTGAATATGTAAGGCTGAAAGGGCTTGTGGTTAGAAATTATCTTCAAAATACTTCAGGAAAAGAAGAAAGAAAGGAAGAGAGAGGGAGGAGAGAAAAATTAATAGCTGAATCAAGTTTGGCAAAAATCCTAATAACTGTTGGTTTGGGTGACAGGTATATTAATGGTCCATTACTATTCTCTCCCCACCTACAGATATGTTTGAAATTATAATAAAAAAGTAAAAGAAAAATTTCTTAAGACTAGGGTTTGAGCAGGCAAGTGAGGATGAATAGGTAGGAGTTGACAAGGAGAGGATTTTAGGCATTCTACCTCATTCCCAGCCCATCTGTCAATACACTAGCAGCCGTTCCTCAATTTTCTTGGCCACACAACGCAGCAGTCAGATCTCAGCAACTCTGAATGCCTCAGCCTCCACTATGGATAGCTAACCAGCTTGCTCTCTTTTTCTAACTTTCCTGACAGCCCACAAGCTCAGGCTTTTGGCCCTGATCCATCTACTACATCCATCCTTCTAAATTTTGTTTCTAATTCCATGTGTCTCCAATTCCCAGTAGTTAATAGACTCCGGCTACAAATGTAATACAAAAAGGTAAGAGATAGGCATTATATGATAAACTCCATGGTAAATAACCTGTGTGAACTCGGAGTCCCTTGGAAAACTCACGTTATCTATTTATTGTGACATGTCCTTGGCACCTGAATGTTTCCACCAAGTCCGTAGGTGAGCCTGGACAAAATGAATACGTTAACTGGAAACACAGTTTTACTTTCTGCTATTAAGTCCTAGTTTGCCCATATATCATTTCCATCCTGGGGATTTCTAAATCTTTTCAATAGTTTTAAAAGGTTAGAAATACCTGCATCACAAATTCTCGACGTCGAGGCATTCCTCTTTCAGAAAGCAAAACATAATCTGGCTCCTTTTCCTTTTTGGCCTGTTGAATTTGTGCCAGGCGGCTAATAGGGTTCATCCCTTGGCCATATTCTGGTCCAGCCTAAAAATTAATTTAAGACAATGTTTTAAAATATGCTTGTGAAACTTGTTATTGAATCCTTAAAGAAACGGTGTTCCTCCCCTCCAACACCATACCCAAAACTGTGACTAGAAAAGATAAATGAGTCATTTATGAATATTTATAAAGGAAAAATCATAAAATAGACCTGTAACCAAGGCTTTATGGGATTTGGGGCTCAGAGGTATTAATGGCAAGCTGGGTCAACTATGCTTTTAAAATTGGGCAAACGCTTCAGTATACCAGAGGTGCTTCATAATTTCTGTTCATCAAGAAACAACAAAAAGAACATAAGGGGCCGGGCACGGTGGCTCACCCCTGTAATCCCAGCACTTTGGGAGGCCAAGGAGGGTGGATCATGAGGTCAGGAGATCAAGACCATCCTGGCCAACAGGGTGAAACCCCATCTCTACTAAAATATAAAAAGTTAGGTGGTGCACGCCTATAGTCTCAGCTACTCGGGAGGCTGAGGCAGGGGAATCGCTTGAACCTGGGAAGCAGAGGTTGCAGTGAGCAGAGATTGTGCCACTGCACTCCAGTCTGGTGACAGAGAAAGACTCCGTTACCCGCCCCTCCCCCCCACAAAAAAAGACCAACCATGAACTGGGAGGAGATATTTGCAACACTTCATTTTTATTTTATCTTATTATTTGAGACAGAATTTCACCATTTTATTATATTTATGTATTTTTATTTTTATTATTATTCTTTTTTGAGACTGAGTTTTGCTCTGTCACCCAGGCTGGAGTGCAGCAGTGCAATTTCAGCTCACCACAACGTCTGCTTCCCAGGTTCAAGCAGTTCTCGCGTCTCAGCCTTCCAAGTAGAGGGGAATACAGGTGCGCACCAACATGCCTGGCTAATTTTTATATTTTTAGTAGAGACGGGGTTTCATCATGTTACCCGGCTGGTCTTAAATTCCTGACCTCACGTGATCTGTCTGCCTTGGCCTCCCAAAGTGCTGGGATTACAGGCATAAGCCACAGCACCCACTGAAACACATATAATTTTAAAAAGATATATCTAGTATCCAAAATACATTTTTTAAAACTCCTAAAAAGCATTAAGAAAAACGGAATATAAAAGGGAAATGGCAAAAGAGATAAACATATGCTTCACATAAGGAAAAATCAGCATATGAAATAATTAACCTCTACAACACAGAAAATACATATTAAAAACCTTAGTGAGTTACTATTTCACATCCAACAATTTAGCAAAATTTAAGAAGTCTAACAGCCCCAACTGGGAGTTACAGAAACTTTTATAGAATACTGGGAGTACTACAAATGGAAAAACAAGCTGGCAACGTCCAGTAAATCCTGAGGTGGTACATCCAACCCCTAGTAGCCTATTCCTAGGCACATATATTCCTTAGAAAACTGTAACTCATGTGCGCAAGCTCATATGTATAGGAATATCCACAGATGCATTATTTGAAATAGAAAAAAGACCCAGAATATGCATCAATAAAAGAACAGATAAATTACAGCATGTTCATACAATGGAATGGTATATAGCAGTGAAAATGAATTAATTATTGCTACATGCATCAAGATGAATTTCAGAAAGATAATGGTAAGTAAAACAGGCAAGCACACAATAATATATACAGTATGATACATTTTACGTAAAGTCTGCTAAAACTACAAAATACTGCTGAAATTAAGATCTAAACAGTCAATACATCATGTTCATGGATCACAAGACTCAACAATAAGATGTCAGTTGTCCTCAAAATCCCAGTAGGCTTTTTTCTTTTTTTTGTTCTGAGACAGAGTCTCACTGTATTGCCCAGGCTAGAGTACAGTGGCACGATCTCAGTCACAGCAACCTCCACTTCCCGGGTTCAAGCAATTCTGCTTCCTCAGCCCCCCAAGTAGCTGAGACTACAGGCACATGCCACCATACCTGGTTAATCTTTGTATTTTTAGTAGACAGGGTTTCACCATGTTGGCCAGGCTGGTCTCAAACACGTGACCTCATGTGATCCTCCCACCTCGGCCTCCCAAAGTGCTCAGATTACAGGCATGAGCCACCATGCCTGCCCCCTAGTAGGCTTTTTAAAATTTAATGTATAAGCTGATACTAAAATTCATATGAAAATGCAAAGGACAAAGACCCAGAACTCTGGGGTGGGGAAAAGACTCAAACTACCTAATTTCAAGATTATAAAACTATAGCATTCAAGACAGTATGTGTAGTATTGGTATAAAGATAGAAAAAGGGACCAATGAAACAGAATAGTGAGTGCCCAGATACAGATACAGACACACACACACACAAACACAAACACACACACATGGTCACATGATTTTCAACAAAGGTACAAAAGGAATTCAGTGGGGTAGTCTTTTCAGCCAATAATGTTAGGACAATTGGCTATTCATATGTAAAAAGAAAAAGGAAAAAAATATCTTCAAGCCAAATCTCGTATCGTTTATAAAAATAATTAACTCAAAATGTCTCATAGACATAAATGTAATGTCTAAAACCATAAGACCTCCAGAAGAAATATTTTTGTGACTTGGTTAGGTAACAATTTCTTAGATAAAACACCAACATCACCTTCCATGTAAAAAACTAGTAATAAAACAAAACAATAATACAAATAATAAAAAATAAATTAAATCTTCAAAATTAATAACTTCTGTTCTTTGAAAAAGACACAGGATTGAAGAAAATATTTGCAAACTACATGTGATAAAGCACCCGTATCCAGAGTGTACAAGGACCTCTAAAAATTCAATAAATTTATCATTATTTGAAACAAGCAGTTAATATTTTTTAAGCTGGCAAAAGATTTAAATGAACACTTCATGGCCAGGTGCAGTGGCTCACACCTGTAATCCCAGCACTTTGGGAGGCCAAGGCAGGCAGATCACTACGTCAGGAGATCGAGACCATCCTGGCTAACATGGTGAAACCCAATCTCTACTAAAAATACAAAAAAAAGTAGCCAGGCATGGTAGCGGGTGCCTGTAGTTGCAATTACTAGGGAGGCTGAGGCAGAAGAATTGCTTGGACCCAGGAGGCGGAGGTTGCGGTAAGCCGAGATCACGCCACTGCATTCCAGCCTCGGCGACAGAGTGAGACTTGTCTCAAAATAAACAAATAAATAGATCCAAGATGGCCAAATAGGAACAGCTCTGGAGGGCAGTTCCCAGCGAAAACGCAGAGGGTGAGTGGGACATGGATGAATCTGGAAACCATAATTCTCAGCAAACTGACATAAGAACAGAAAAACACACGTTTTCACTCATAGGCAGGTGTTGAACAATGAGAACACATGGACATAGGGAGGGGAGCTTCATACACTGGGGTCTGTCAGAGGGAACCAGGGGAGGGATGGTGGAGGGTGGGAAGTTGGGAAGGGATAACATGGGGAGAAATGCCAGATATAGGTGATGGGGATGGAAGCAGCAAACCACATTGCCATGTATGTACCTATGCAACAATCCTGCATGTTCTTTACATGTACCCCAGAACCTAAAAGGCAGTAATATATATAATAATAATAAATAAATAAATAAATAATAAACACTTAATTTGGCCTCATGTGACACTAAACACATAAAAAATTCTCAATATCATCAGCCACAGAGGAAATGTAAATTAAAACCAAAATGAGATATCAATACCCATGTAGGTGAATATCTGAAATTGTAAAAACTGACTATGCTAAGTGTTAGCAAGAATGTGAAACAATGAAGTTCTCACACTCTGCTGATGAGAATGTAAAGGAGCACAGATGCTACAACTTAAAAAAACTAAAGTTGACTATATACCTACTAAACGACCAAGCCATACCACTATCTCTACTATTGGTAGAGACAAGAATAATCACTACATTACACATTATACATTACACTAAACTTTTTTTTGAGACAAAGTCTCACTCTGTTGCCCAGGCTGGAGTACTGTGGTGCAGTCTCAGCTCACTGCAACCTCCACCTCCCAGGTTCAAGAAATTCTCCTGCCTCAGCCTCCTGAGTAGCTGGGATTATAGGCACCTGCCACCATGCCCAGCTAATTTTCTGTATTTTCAGTAGAGATGGGGTGTTTCACCAGGTTGGCCAGGCTAGTCTTGAACTCCTGACCTCATGATCTGCCTATCTTGGCCTCCCAAAGCACTGGGATTACAAGCGTGAGCCACCTCACCTTGCCTGCACTAAACTTATGTGAGAGTCACTGTGCAGTCTTAGCTTCTCCAGATGATTGCTGCCATTTCGTCTTGACAATGTCTAGTTTGGTGCTGCAGGTACGGCCTCCAGGCAGATCCCTCATGGTCTTTCAAACTACGTTTTGGATTTTGGACTTTATCCAAAGAGCAAGAAAATTACAAAAAGATTGGCTGGGCACGGTGGCTTAAGCCTGTAATCCCAGCACTTTGGGAGGCCAAGGTGGGTGAATCACGAGGTCAAGAGATCGAGACCATCCTGGTCAACATGGTGAAACCCCGTCTCTACTAAAAATACAAAAAATCAGCTGGGCGTGGTGGCACGTGCCTGTAATCCCAGCTATTTGGGAGGCTGAGGAGGAGAATTGCTTGAGCCCAGGAGGCGGAGGTTGCGGTGAGGCAAGATTGCGCCATTACATTCCAGCCTGGGTAACAAGAGCAAAAACTCCAACTCCAAAAAAAAAAAAAAAAAAAAATTACAGAAAGATTTTAAGCAGAGGCATGATATGATGAGACAGTGTCTCTAAAAAATCATACTTTTAAAAATATCATTTGGTGTCAAAAGTACTCGTAGCCAGTTAAAACCTTACTGTAGTAGTTTAGGTAAGAGATGACTGTGAGTTGGACCAAAGAGAGGCAGAAGAGACGGAAAAAAAGGAACCAACTTAAAAAAATATTAGGTGAGAACACCCTGCACAGTGGCTCATGCCTGTAATCCCAGCACTTTGGGAGGCTGAGGCAGGTGGATCACGAGGTCAGGAGTTCGAGACCAGCCTGATCAACATGGTGAAACCCTGTCTCTACTAAAAATACAAAAATTAGCCAGGTGTGGTGGTGTACGCCTGTAATCCCAGTTACTCAGGAGGCTGAGGCAGGAGAATCACTTGAACCTGGGAGGCAGAGGTTGCAGATTGCAGTGATCCAAGATCATGCCACTGCATTCCAGTGTGGACAACACAGCGAGACTCGAGACTCCGCCTCAAAAAAAAAAAAAAAAGACCAGAAATATTAGGTGACAGAATCAATAGGCCTAATGACTGATGAGACATAAGAATTAAAGTTAAAGGCTGGGCATGGTGGCTCACACCTGTAATCCTAGCACTTTGGGAGGCCAAAGCAGATGGATCAACTAAGGTCAGGAGTTCGAGACCAGCCTGGCCAACATGATGAAATCCTGTCTCTACTAAAAATACAAAATCAGCCAGGCATGGTGGTGGGTGCCTGTAATCCCAGTTACTTGGGAAGCTGAGGCATGAGAATTGCTTGAACCCAGGAGGCAGAAGCTGCCGTGAGCCAAGATTGTGCCATTGCACTCCAGCCTGGGCAACAAGCAAAACTCTGTCTCCAAGAAAAAAAAAAAAAAAGAAGAAGTTAAAAATGATCTCTAGCAGTTACTGCAGCTAGATGTTAGTGCCAGTTGCTGAGATAAAGAATGCTGCAGGAGAAAGAGGTTTAGAAGGAAACATGATGAATTTGGGCCGAAATCTGAGGCACCTGTGAAACAGTAAGTGGAGATGTCTAATAGGCAGCATAGAGCATAGGGTATTTGGGAATCACCTATATGAAGATGGAATTGAACACCTAGAAGTAGAAGAACAGCTTAGGGAAGGAGTAAGAGGAAAAAGACTGAGAACTTCACAGTTGCAATGGTTAAATGAAGGGAAAAGAAAGAGCAAAAGGAAACTTTTAGCTTTTGAAAAAATGCTGGTTTCAATTTCTACTTATATCCTGAAAAATAAAAATTAAATAAATTATAAGGGGAATGAAGAAGGACTGATGAGAAAAGACAAACCCACTTAATAATTTATAAGTCTAAGATTGAGATCCCAATGAAAAGGTAAAGAGAAGCTCTGAGTCCAGCGCTAGAAGTAGTATGCCCAGTTCATGAAGATGTTAAATAGGAATGTGTTTCCAGTGGTATACTGTCTTTATTTCTGTTTAATTTGACTCTAAGAATGTCTTTGAGTTCCAAGGAAATTATTGTTGATATAGATTCCACGGACAAAGAATCAGATACACAAATCCATTTAGATAACACATCAAGAATGGCTTGGGGCTGGGCGCAGTGGCTCTCACCTGTAATCCCAGCATGAGTTAGGCAGATCACTTGAGCCGAGGAGTTTGAGACTGCCTGCAAAACATGGCAAAACCCTGTCTCTACAGAAAATACAAAAAATTAGCTGGGCATGGTGGTATTGTGCCTGTAGTTCGAGTTGGGAGGGTCACCTAAGACCAGAAAATCAAGACTGTAGTGAGCCACTGCACTGTACCACTGCACTCTAGCCTGGGCAACAGGAGTGAGACCCTGTCTCAAAAACAAACAAACAAACAAACAAACAAACAATTTTGGGAGGCCAAGGCAGGCAGATCATTTGAGGTCAGAAGTTCAAGACCAGCCTGGGCAACACAGTAAAATCCCATCTCTACCAAAAAATACTAAAATTAGCTGGGTGTGGTGGCACACGACTAGTCCCAGCTACTCTGGAGATGACATGGGGGTATCGTTTGAACACAGGATGCAGAGGTTGTAATCAGCGGAGATCATGATGCCACTGTACTCTAGCCTGAGACACAGAGTGAGACCCTGTCTCAAAAAAAAAAAAAAAAAAGTGGGGAGTGGGGGGACTTGGTTTCTTGCTCTGACTGAAATGAACTACCAGCACCCTTGACAATTAAGTTATTCCTTGGACAGCAAATCTTACATCATTCTATATACCAATAAGGACAGTCTTGTAAAAACTGTGTCCAGAACATTTGATCTCCAAGACTGGAAAGCCCTGTCTGAAGTCTCATCTTATAGAGGGGAATTACACTTAAAAACAGAATGTAAACACAAAAACATTATCAGGGCAGTTGTACATGTTAAAAGGATAACCCTATACAGTGAATCTTAAAATCCAAAAGTCCTCAATTAACCAGTGTCAAATGGGCACTGGAGTCAGACATAACAACTGGATCTGAAAGCTGACTCTGCTACAGGATCTTGGATGGTTTCCTTAAATATAAAGGGCTTCATCTGTAAGGCAGAAATGAATGCTACATTACAGAATGATTAAGACAATCTACTGAGACAATGTGATTGTTTTATTTACTTTAAATAAAACCAAGGCAAACCATCATAGATATTTTTCTCTGCTTCCACTGAGTATAAGGAACTATACACCCTTGATGTATAAGCCATACAAGGAAGTGAGGACAATGCTGAAAAGCAGGATACTATTCCAAGCCGATCCATTTACTGGCACATTATAAGGTATGAACATACTTACAATTATCTAGATCCCAACTCATTATACACATGTTGTTCTCTCAAAATAATCTAACATTTCAGCGGGTATCTACAGGATTTAACAAAAGACAGACATGGCAAAAGTAACTCCAAATGTGGTGTATGTGAGGAAAAATACAGAAGGCTAACCTAGTCTGGGAGTAGGAGAGGACCAGAGGAGTCCCTAAAAAGGTCAAATTTATGCTGTGATCTGAAGGATGCATAGGACGGAAATTCTGGTATAATATTGCTTATATACTGGAAGCAGTAGCAAATAATTGAGAATTCAAAATGTTTCTCCTATCTCCCGCCTCTAGGGAATAACATTTAAATTATCATCTTGCTTTTAATAGCTATAGTTAAAACAAGAGTTAGATTTATATGCTACTATAGAAATGTACAGATCTTTTCTAGCCTAATAGTTGTTGTTGTTATTATTATTATTTTCAGACAGAATCTCACTCTGCCTCCCAGGCTGGAGTGCAGTGGCAGTGATCTTGGCTCACTTCAGCCTCTGCTTCCTACGTTCAAGTGATTCTCATGCCTCAGCCTCCTGAGCTGTAGCTAGGATTATAGGTACACGGCACCACAGCCACCTAATTTTTGTACTTTCAGGAAAGATGAAGTTTTGCCATGTTGGCCACACTGGTCTCAAACTTCAGGCCTCAAATGATACACCCGCCTAAGCCTTCCAAATTGCTGGGATTACAGGTGTGAGCCACCGTGCCCAGCCTGGTTTATTATTCTTAATTTATCAAGACTTAGTTTAATAGATTAGATGGAAGCTATTGTGACCAGTCTTGGGCCATCATTCTAACATAAAATGCTGTTCTTCCATCATAGAAAAGCCAAATATTTTACATATTAGTAGATTTAAGAAAACAGTTCATGGATATATTCACATAGACATAAAATGTGAGTAGGTAGTATTAGATACAAAATACCAATAGCTAATATGTATTACTTATTACAGTAGTTGCATTATCACTAACAACAACGAATACTTAATAATTACTAATGCATTTTGTGCATTGTTTTAGTTAATACTTATAACAATCCCATGTAGCAAGGTCAATTATTATTCCCACTTTGTAAATGAATAAATATTTTTAAAAGTTAGGTAACTTGCTCAGGAATTCATACTCAAAACTGACTCCGAAAGTCATTCTCTTAATAGCTATATTCTAGTCCCTGACTGTATAAGAGGAGCATCTGAATGAAAGCACAAGTCGTCTAGGGAATCACTATGATTCATACTAAGTGAATCTATTTGCATTTATTTTTAGTCTACCTTATATATAATATATAAGCCAGTTCAGGGAATGCATTACCTACTGTATCTTCTAAGTGAAATAATGTCAGTATTCATTAAAAACAAGTATTTAAGTAGGTATTTTTATACGTATGTATGTAGGTATTTTTAAATAAAACAAAGGTACAAAGGTATAAAACTGTAAAAACACCTAAATTGTGCCACTGTGCAATCAAAATAAAAGAAATCCATTGAGATTAAAGATATTTCTTATCTGTAATCCTTCATTTGTACAGCCTGATCAGAAGTCTGCTAAATCAGTGAAGATGAGCCAGCAACTGAAATGCTGGCAATTTAAGGCTTTCTCTAGAAACACAGACCTCTTAACTCCACACATGTCATACATGTCAAGCATTCATGGACACTGTCCTATAATAAATGCTGATTCATCTCATTCCTCTGATATTTACGTTTTTTCTCTTACTAATGTGAATAAATTCTAATCCAATAAAAGAAAGAGTCACAATATTTTGAAAAGCTGTATGCTCCATATTCTTCTTTGGCAAGGTATACACATCTGAACGAATGGCAACAAAATAACACCATCTACCTCATATGGTTGCTATGTGTATTAAATGTGATTAAAGTATGCAAAGTGTTGGGACAAAGTCTGGCAGATGGAGTGCTTTACGATTTCCAGCTGCTGTAGCTATCCTCATTATATTATTCATATGATTTTTTTTTTGTATCCTGTTTAAATTTCATGATATCCTAAGAAGTTACTATGTAACAGCCTTGTGTGCAGAAAGAACACTGGATTAGAGATCAGAGCAATTCAGGTGGTTCGACATGATTGCTGAATAAAAATGAGCAAACCCTTTGAACATGTTTTATAAACTCTTATTTGTAAAATGAGGGCTAACATCATCTACCTTACATGGTCATGAGGGGTAAGGTGACATTAATGGAAAAGCACTTTTTAAACAACAACAACAAAAACCTATAAATATCTAAGGTATTATGAATATTTGATGAACAAATGCAGGTAAAACAGGTGTCTAAAAAGCAAAACAGAATTGTCATTAATTTAGAGTCACATGTCCTGCCCTGATTTCAGGACTACATATACTCCATAAGTTCAGGGACCTGCCTTATAGAAAAATGCTTATCTTTAGCTACTATAATATTTATTTAGTAAAACTGACTGATGTTCACAAATATAAACTTACCTTTACTATTGTTTTAGGGCGTTTTTTAAAAAATAGTTTCGGCTTTTCCACCACAGGAAGAGGTGGAAGTTTTTTAAGCTCCTGTAAGACAGTGGTTGCAGCGCGCTTCTTGGAGAGTTTTTTGCTATTTCCTTCTCCTTCTGCAGAGAACTCTCCTACTGACACTCGAGTAACAAAGCTTTTCATATGTGGTGGTCCACTTTCTTTAATAACCTAATAAATATGAGTAAAATATTAAATAATCTATAGGCACTTCAGATGTATTCTTACAGAATGACTTAATATTCATATCAAAATCGAAATTGGTATCATCCCAAAATTATAGTATTTCTTTAAGAAAGCTATTATGAAGGTATTACACTATTTATTTATGACACTTGATGCCAAATGCAGTTGAAACAGAAGAAATCTAAATAAACACATTTGATTCATAGTCAAATGATTTTTTATTACTTTAAAACCGACAATTCCGATTACAGTTTCTCCATGTCTTAGGAAGCACAAATTTAAGAACATCAAAGATATCATTAGATACCATATTAGATTGGCCATCTAGAATGATAGTTTGTATATAATTACAGACATATCTAACTTTCTCCTATGTATAAGTTACTGGAGAAACTTGTAGTTCTATAAACCATAAGGCACCATGCCTGTGGAAGCCTCTCAAAAACAGCCGATGGATGAAAAATAAGCTGTTTTTGATAGAGATGTCAAAGGCTGTTTTACAGAAAGGGATACTTATTCTTGTGACATGATTTTAAAAAGGTAAGTAGGTATGCCAAAAATACCTAGCTTCTAGAGTAATGAGTTATAGATCTGTCAGCTATGAATGTAATGTTCCTAAACCTTGTTTAATCTGCTCTCACTTTTAAACTATGCCAGCTTTTGGAGGAAATATGCCTTCCAAAACCTGAAGACTCGAAACTTTTAGTCTCCTTCAAAATTCTGACCTATACAAGATACCCTATTTAAGTAGTTTACTATTTAACATTACACCGAAATTTTGTCTTCTAATATTAGATTCCAATTAGGAAAAGGAATAAAAGTACTATCAATTCTCAATAATGCAACATTATTAGGGAGAAGGAATTTATCATAAGCATACTTTCCAAGTAACTTAGGCTTACTAGTTTAAACACCAAAACTGTTTAACTACTTTGATAGACATTCTTCTCAATTTAAAAAAGTATATGTTTTACTGACTTAAAAGAGAATACTAAATATCTAACCTTTAGTTATGTTAGATCATCATTATAAACATCAGATATCCTATACCATAATACGTTCATGTTCCCTAGAACATCTAAGACTTATAAAACTGTCTGTTCATATTCATTGTAGCCTTTTTAAAAAGCCCAATAATTTTTTAGTATAAGCAATTACTTTTTACAGATTTTCCAAATTTTCCATATCACTTCTTGCTGGACCAATAGGATCTGAAGTACATTCTCTCCCTTACTCCTTCATTTTGCTGCTTTTAACCTGCTGTGGACTGAGAACTCAGGTAACACAACTTGTCAGAACTGTGTCCAAGAGAAAGTGGACAGTTTCTCAGTACAACTCAGATGACCCTGCTGTGGGAGCTTTCCAGTAGGTGAATGTCATACAATGTGAAGGAAGATTCTCCACAACTCTTTCAGTTTATTTTTTTTTCTTGATTCTTGCCTACTTTCAAGATATAAGTTGTAAAATTAGTGACCTCTTACTAAGGGAGGTATTATAATAATTATTTTTTAAAAACTTTTTTAAATTTCATACAATTTTATGAATATATTTGCAACATATTTATCTAACTATAAAGTCAAGAGTTGCTTCATTAATTCTTACTTCTTAGTGATTTTGTTAGTTAAAGTTAAACATATTTTGGCATCTACACAATTGAAAAAATTGGATATTAACATATATGTGTCACTAAATCTTAACTTGAATAAATTTAATTTAATCCTATTTAAAAGACAAAATCCTGGCCTGGCACAGTGGTTCACGCCTGTAATCCCAGCACTTTGGGAGTCCAAGGTGGGTGGATCACGAGGTCAGGAGATGGAGATCATCCTAGCTAACATGGTAAAACCCCGTCTCTACTAAAAATACAAAAAAAATGAGCTGGGCATGGTGGCGCATGCCTGTACTCCCAGCTACTCAGGAGGCTGAGGCAGGAGAATCGCTTGAACACAGAGGGCACAGGTTGCAGTGAGTTGAGACTGCACTACTGCACTCCAGGCCTGGGCGACAGAGCAAGACTCCGTCTCAAAAAAATAAATAAATAAATAAATAAATCCTATAGGATACCACAAATTATCTTATACCCAGAAAATAACTTTTATAATTAAAATTGAAATATCATGTGTACAAAGGCTTAATACAGAAAAGAAAAAAAAAATCAGAAGAAATCTGTGATATCATCACAATTTCTATTTTCACCACAGCCTAGATCATTTCATAATACTGAGTTTGAACATACAGAAGCACATTAACTCTTACAGGATACTAGTATACCAGGTAATTTGATTTGTTTAAAATAAACAGAGCAGGGAAAAAAAATGGGAAGATCTCTACCAAGTACATACCTCAAAACTGACAGGCATATTTCGCTTCAGAGCAATTTCAAACACCAAGCTGATCTCAGACTTATTTGCATCTTTGTCATCATCCATATCCTTTCCTGATTCACCATTCTAAATCACAAAAAAATAGGATAACACTGAATCTTGCCATTATAACAACTTTAGTTTTAATCTACAGTCAAGATAGCCTATTTAAAATACAAGAAGAAACAACAAACTATAGGCTGTATCTGCTACACATTCTTCTGTAACCACAGTACTCAAGGGCTTTGCTGCCAGGCTTTCTGTTATTCATTTTTGTTTTTAGTTTTCCTTGAAGGAAAAGCATTTAATGCAGAATTTGGAAATCTTTTACAACCATACACTTACTTGAGTTTAGCCTACATCCCTAGACCTGGCTCTCTTTTTTTTTAGAGTTCTCTACCCCCCAACCCCCAACCCCCAACACCCAAGAATTCCTCCGCTGGTGTTCTAACGTGATCTATGAGGATGAAGTTACAAAAAGAGTACAGGATGCAAACCAAGAGCATCCTAGTTGGAACTCTACATCTGGCACAGGTATCAGTTTACTTTATTCATTTATTTAACACATACTTCTGGAGGGCCTCATACATGCTGAACCTACTATAACTATTAGAGACAGTATTTCTGCTGTCAAGGGGTGTATGATCTAGTGGGAAAACAGGTAAAGAAATAGGAGCTCTCATGAAAGAGTACAAGCAGAAAAACACCTATCATAATCGATCCATTAAGATAAATATCAAAGGAGAAACAAACAATCAGTTTGGAGAAAGGAAAACTGTAGAGGCTGAACTGTGGAGTTTGAAATAACTAAGTGGAAAAGTCCAGCAAGAAGCTCACTGTACTATGTATAGGACATGCTTGGGCTAGAGGTACTGTTTTGGAGTCAATAGAGAAAGTAGCTGAAGCCATGAGAATGAGTGAGATCACTCAAGAACAGCCTCAACATCCTCATTTGTAAAACAAAGGAGGACTGAAAAATCCATAAAATCTCCTCCACTTTAAATCCTTGATTCTAGATTCACACAATGTAATCTATATTCAGTAGACATAGTATAAAATGTAAGGCAAATCAATGTTATTCCTCATCCTCATATACATCCCCAAATCCCCAGTTGCTTGGAAAGTGAACGTGAGGGAGGAACCAAAGGTAAAGTCATCCTGCAGGAACACATAAGTCAATTACAGTAGACTATCTGAGATGCAAATCTTAGCAGGTCTTCACTCTAATATTCTTCCCTATCAGAACAGATTATTTATTTGAATTACAAAATGCATGGATTTGTCTTCCCATAAATCTCACTGGGAAAGTTTAAAGAAGAGACTGTCCCATGCAGCAGTGCCACACCTGAGGCGACTTTTCTGGAATAGGTTCATTCTGTAGTGCTTGGAGGGCTTTCATTGCGGCATTGTGTCTAGCAGCTTGTCGAGTCTTCCCTTCCCCAAAAAATTCATTATTTCCTACAGTGAGCTGAACATAAAAGATCTTAGGCATCGGGCAATGATATCTAAAATAAGAAAATAAAAAGTTAGTTTAATAAAATCATTCCATAATGATTCATAAGATTTATTTTGTTTAAAATGACATCAATTATACAATGTACTATAGTCAATAAAATTTTAACCTCAAAAATATACATTTTGGATAAAATGTGAGTCAATACATCTACAGATAATAGCTTATCCTGATCTCCATGAAAAACATATATAGAATACAAGATTAAACATAAAACAATACAATAAAAATTATTTAATCATATCACAGGAGACTTCCTGGTGAGAAATTTTCAGTTAGATTTTGACAGAAGTAAGTGAACGGTCTGATGAAGCTACAACAGAGTCTGGGACAGGCAAGACTGTTCAGGTGACAACATGTAGATTACTGTGCTTTTTGCAGAAGACAATTATTAGAAACACAGGGGCAGAGAAATGGATTGAGTATAGTGCAACGCAATAAAGAGTGTAGATTCCGCATAAGGATAAGGAGTTTAAGCCAATTCTTAAGCAGGAAGTGCTATATTCATACATTTTACAGTGACTGAGATAATGATGCATGACTAAAAAGCTGCAATAATGCAGATAGGAAGAAATAACAAAGGCTGTAAGAAGAAAGAAAAATCCAAAAGAAATTAAGGAGAAAAAATTAAGAAGATATGTAATAAAATCCATTAATTCAACAATTATTTATGGAGTGTCTTCTATATGACAGGGGACTATGTCAATGAACAAAAACACTTACATTAGAGTAGGGAAGATAAACAGTAAAATAAATATGTAGAATTATCTTATATTAGAGATAGATGTATGAAAAAGTAAACAGGGAAGGGTTCAAAGGTGTCAGGGAGGTAGGTTTTAGATAGGGTGGCCAAGAGAAGTTTCCTTGAGAAAATATCAATTGTGTAAAGAGCTGAAGTAAGTGAGGGAACAAGCCATGCAGGTATCTGGGACAGTATTTGTGAAGCAGAGAGAATACCAGCAGCAAGGGCAGCGAGGCAGGAGTGTGCCATGCATGTTCAAGTAACTCGGAGGAGGCCTGTCTGGCAAAAGTTTAGAGAATGAGAAAATAAAAAGCCAGGAGATGAGAAGTGGCCAGATTTCCATAAGGCCTTTCCTACAGATCGCTGTAAGCATTTTTTACCCTGAGTGAAATGACCAGCCACTGTAAGGTTTTGCACAGAGAAGTAACATAATCTGACTTACCTTTTAGAATAACCATCTACTATTCTGAAGACACACTGTAGCGGAACGATACTGGAGGCAAGGATATCTACTAGGCTACTGAAATAATCAAGGGGAAAGGTGATTGTGGCCTGAACTAGGGTGTAGCAATGAAAATAATGAGAAGTGATGGTTTCTAGACGAATTTTGAAAGTACAGATGATCGGTTTACCCAAAGACTGGCTATAGAATATGAGAGGGAAGTCAGGGTGACATCAGGGATTTGGAACTAAGTAACTGGAAAATGGAGTACCCATCTATTGAGATCGTGAAGACTGCAAAAGAAATGGGTTTGCTGGGGGTGGATTTCAGCGGCTCTGTTTTGGAGATGTTCAATTATTAGGCCTATTAGCTATCCAAGTGTAGATGTCAACTGGACAACTGAATTTATTAGTCTGGACTTCAGGAAAGAGGTCCAATATAGAGAAAAAAGTTGGGAATCACCAGTATATAGGTGGTATTCAAAGGCATAAAACAATGAGAACTGCATGGGAGGGTGTGATAGGAGAAAAGCCAAACAAGCACAATATCCTTCCTGAAAGCCAAATAGGGAAAAAAGTCTGTCAAGGAGAAGGGAGGGATTAATTGCACCTAATGCTACTAACAGGTCAAGTAAAATGAGGACTGAGAAATACGACCACTGAATTGAGCAACTTAGTAAAATAAACAGAATCGATTTTGATGAAATGGTGGATTTATAATTGTAATGCTGAAAAATCACTGGAGTGATTTTTAACTCCAGTGCTAAAAAAATGTTTGTTTCCAAGCAAAAAGAAGTACAACTGAGGTCCTACTATATTTTAGATAATTACTGGACATCCAAGTAGTGACACTCCATATTCAACCTGAGATAAACTGGAAAGAGCCCATCATGTAGGAATTCACTAGGCAGATGGGACTAATCAATGAAGGTTTACTGAAGGTGAATAACTAGAAATGTTGATTGGTACTGAAGATGCAGATTTGCAAGGCAATAATTGAAACCATGCAAGTGGATAAGCACCTGGAAAGGGTAAATGTAAAGGAATCAAAAAGGAGCCTAAGGGTAAGAACTGATTAATGCCTATGATCAAAGTGCTAGGAAAACAATAGACAGCAGTGAAGGAGATGAAAAGGGGTCAAAGTTAGAAGAAAAATTAAAACACAATGTCAGGGACAGGAGTAATTAACAGTGTCAAGTGAAGGGGAGGAATTCAGAGCATGAAAAAAAGAAAAAGTCGATGTTGAAAACACTTAAATTTTCTTGAACTATAGTTTTCTATTAAATTAAGGTAAAGCATTTTCAATGTGTTTTCATTATATGTCATATGTTCTCTTTTAATTAGCAAATATAAAAAGTTAAATTAAAAATCACAGTATTTTAACATGCAAAGACTAAAAAGCATTAAAAAAAATCACAATTTTTTGGTTTTTTTTGGTTACGATAACTAGTGTACTGAAATGCACAATTTCCTGTCATCTATTTTATTTTAATCCCCTTAATGCAGAAATCTGACAGACTAATATGAATAATGCTGCTCATCTTTACTTTGTGTTTCACAAAATTCAATTTTCCCACCTCCACAGAACTTTTGTTTATTTGTAACTTTTGTTTATAAACTTACGTTTATTTTTACCTGGTTCTATTATGAAACTTTCAAACAGACAACTTGAAATCAGAAATTTACTCCTAAACTGAGATCTTATATGGCAAACTTTCACCATAGAGCAAATGTTTACAATTAATTATAAACTTCTGAAAATAGACGGTCCACAACTGAAATGCTAACAGACCTTTAACTACAGTAGAGGGAGTGGGCGCCACTATAATCACTAAGGCCTGCTGACAATTACAAAACTCATTTTGGTTTGCCACAGAGACAAACAAAATTTCTGTTCATTACAACTTTACTGGAATATGATGTCATAACACATAACCATACTGAAACAATCTGCTGATTTTCTGGCCAAAATATTAATTGCACACTAAAGAGCCCTTGGGGCCTCTCCCTTTTTGGTCATCAAATATGGCTCGATGTATGTGTATGTGCATGCACACGGATATATATATACACATAAATTGTATTGTATAAGTGTAAGAGGAAAAATTAAGTATGTTGCATTTTTAACATAAAAAGTAAAAATTCTAGCACTAACAACAGGAAATCCCAAGACTGTATGCCTGACTTATTTCATTCTGTTTCACTTCATCCTCTTACTTAACAATGATTCTTAATAATACACCCCACATGGTTTGAATACCTTATATATCACATCTCCTCATACTATCATGACAATTAAGATTAGCCAAAGCACTCTCATTAATAGCATCCAGACTGAATTACAGGGGAGATGAGGCAGAATGGTTCTTGTGTGTTAGGTCTGGTCTGAAAATACTTATTTCCTTTGGTAAAGAAACTACCAAAATTTATTAACTATAAAGGTTGATATGTTCTACTTAATAGAGTTCCTTCTATTTTTACTTATTTCAAATATTAGGCTCACTTTTGGTAAAGTACTTGATATAGTCCGGCTGTGTCCCCACTCAAAATTTCATCTTGAATTGTAATCCGAATTGTAATCCCCATGTGTCATGGGAGGGACCTGGTTGGAGGAAAGTGAAATGGTTTCCCCCATGGTGTTCTCATGATGGTGACTGAGTTCTCACAAGATCTGATGGTTTTATAAGCATCTGGTATTTCCCCTACTGGCACTCATTTCCTCTCCTGCTGCCCTGTGACGAGGTGTCTTCTGCCATGACTGTAAGTTTTCTGAGGTCTCCCTAGCCATGTAGAACTGGGAGTCAACTAAACCTCTTTTCTTTATAAATCACCCAGTCTCAGGTATTTCTTCATAGCAACATGAGAACAGACTAATACAGTACTTACAAGTGCTGTATATATTTTTACAAATTAGTATATTTACCTAATCAGACAGAGCTATTCTTAAATGATTTTTCTCAAGTAGAGTTTTGTGGTCAATGTTTAGATTCTCATAATGACTACTGATAAAAGATGAACCACAAAAACTCACTCACCCAGGTTATTTAAGTTTCAGGGTCAAACGACTGAATTTCCTTTGGATCCCAAAAAAGTCTTGAGATTTGGCCTACCCCCAGCCTCCAAAGCGTAATCCTACTTTCATCAGAATTATCTTCCATGCTTGTTAAAAATGCAGATTCCTGTGATCCAACCCTGATCTGCTGCATCGAGAGTTTCTGGGGATGGAACCATAGTTTTAAGTTGCCCTGCTGACTCTCTGCACAATAAAGGTCCAGAATTATCACCACATCCCACATGGCAATTGCTTCAAATGCCATTCAAGAAAGAGACCACACACATTCCTTACTGCACAATGGTTAGGTCTTTCGTATTTCTTTTTCATTTAATCCTCACTGCAGCCTGGTGAGACAGGAGATGTTCCCAAGGTCACCTTAAGAATGTCCCCAAAAGCTGGGCGCGGTGGCTCAAGCCTGTAATCCCAGCACTTTGGGAGGCCGAGGCGGGTGGATCACGAGGTCAAGAGATAGAGACCATCCCGGTCAACATAGTGAAACCCCGTCTCTACTAAAAATACAAAAAATTAGCTGGGCATGGTGGCACGTGCCTGTAATCCCAGCTACTCAGGAGGCTGAGGCAGGAGAATTGCCTGAACCCAGGAGGCGGAGGTTGCGGTGAGCCGAGATCGCGCCATTGCACTCCAGCCTGGGTAACAAGAGCGAAACTCTGTCTCAAAAAAAAAAAAAAAAAAAGAATGTCCCCAAAAGAGTTGCTGCGAGTCAAATTTAAGTCTACAGAACTGCAGAATCCAG